AGAAAGAAGATCCATGCAAAGTAATTTTTTTCCAGTGAAAAATCAGTTTTCCACACTGTTTCATGTCCAATAAAATTAGATTTTGTAAGAGTTCATTTAAAAATCCAGTGCTTCAATCCCACTTATTTCCTAAACTGGAAAACTGGTGTAAATCCTGAAGTGGAAGGAAAGTAAAAAGGAAATGGTCTACACTTTCCCCCTGTATAATTTCTCTTGCTCCAACCCTTCTTTCTCAATCACACTCACATGCTGTGACCATTTCATTAATCTTTCAGCCTTAATTATGGGCACTGAATCTGCAGTCTGGTCTTACCTATACCACCATGTCAGTCAGGATTTAGTGCTGGACACAGAGACTGCTATAGGTATTTCAAGCAGAATGGAATTTAATTCAGGGAATTTTATATTTACAAAATCCTTGCAAAGGAACACTTTAGCAGTTTTTTAAAAAATTTCTATGTGATTCTACTCTGGGGCAAAATGCATCTTTCTTTTTTTTCCCCCAGGCTTTTAAAATAGGATCTATTTTTTAACATTAATATGTACATTACAGGAAACAAACAAACACAAGCAAAGAACAAAGTCATCCAATCCCAAGCAGGATGTGTCACCTCTAGATCGAGTGTACACCTATACAACATCCCATTTTGTGTGACTGAAGTCATAGTGGGTATCATGCTTCAAAATGAAACTTTCATTCATACAAAAATCTGTACATGAATGCTTATGGCAGCTTTATTTACGGCAGTTCCAAACTGGAAACAGCCCAGAAATTCTTCAACATGTGAGTGGTTAAAAAAAAAAAAAAAAAATTGACATCCATACCATGGAATATACTCAATAGTAAAAGTGAACCAAATGTCAATACATAGAAATTGGGTGAATCTCCAGGAAGCTTGAGTGGAAAAGTCAATTCCAAGAGATTATGAACTATATATTTTCTTTTGTATACTAGCCGAGTGGAAAAATCTTAGAAATAGAGAGCAGATTGGTAGTTTCAGAGACTAGAGATGGGCAAGAGGGAGTGGAGTGACTATAAAAGAGAAACATGAGGCATCCTTGTGGTATTGGAACTGTTCAGTATCTTGATGGTGGTAGTGGATGCACGACTGTACACAAGGATTTCAAGGTTGCTTTTGCTAAAAATACTAACTCTTTACTTGGACCTGCACATATAAAAGAAAATGGCATCTTTGCCTCCATTTTACATCTGACTCTTTTGCTGAGTCAGTCATCTTGGATTCCAGGAACAATGTATCTGATGGATAAAGTCTTGTAGTGTGTCCAAATTACCCACCATGTAATAGCAACAAATCTCCCCATGACCAATTTAAGAAAATGATCAACTAGGCTTGATTGTGCATGACTGTGCATGCTTTTCCTGCCCCTTTTCTGTATAACCTAGGAGATCATGCCAGTACCACTGAAGATAGCACTGGAAATGTTGGTCTCGTTCAACTTCCTTGTTAGCTCTACTGATTAATATTCATTTCCTGCCCTTTACCATTTGGTTTCACCATTTGGTTTTTGGAGTGAATGACTAGACCCAACTTGCTTGGACCCCTGAGAGTTGGGCCTCCATTCTAGAACTCCTATAGAGTTGAAATCCGAGTTCAAAATACAAAGCGGACTGATTCCAGGATAGGCCTTCCACCGTTCCATAGGTATCAATATCTGCAGATTCTCAAGTCTTTTGTACAACATGGGGTAGCATTTGCATATACCTATACAATTATCCCATAGTCTTTAAATTTTCTTTCTTTCTCTTTTTTTTTTGCAGTGCTGGGGAGCAAACTTGGGCCTCAAGCATACTAGGCAAGTACTCTGCCACTGAGATAAAACCCCACCCCTAAATCATCTTTAGATGACTTATAATACCTAAATGCTATGTTATGCTGTTGTTATGGTGTATCTTTTAGGGAATGATGAGAAGAAAAAAATGTCTATAGACGTTCAGTATAGACACAAATATTGTAGAACTAACTACATAGTATATAATAGAGGGTGGTTGAATCTATAGGTGCAGAACACTTGGATATAGGGGACCGAATATATTGAAATTTTCAGCCAGATAATTCTTTGTTGAGAAAGGCTATTCTGTGCATTGTCAGATGTTGAGAAACATACCTGGCCTCTACTTAATAAATACCAACAGCACAACTTCAGTTAGGACAACCAAACTATGTCTCCAGACATTGTCCAATGTCCCCTGGGGGGCAAAATCGCTTATGGTTGAGAATTAATATGTTAGAGTAAAACACAATTAGGACCATTGCCCCTAGAGCTTTCCACTATTATATATCCTGTAACTTTCCTTCTAGCTAATGTAATCAACCTTCTCATGCTACCTAACCCCTGTGAGGACTGTTCATGTTCCCCTAATGCCACAGGGAAAATTACAACATCCACTCCCATCACAAATTTCCTTTCCTACCTCTAAACCAAAGGAACAAGAAAAACCTCTTTTCCTGTCTCTCTTTGTTATGGACTGAATTTTGTTCCTCCCTTAATTCATATGTTAAAGTCTTAAACTTCAGTAGCTGAAAATGTAGATGTATTTGGAAATAGGGTCTTAAAAGAAGTAATTAAGTTAAAAAAGAGGTTGTTAGGGTTCTAATCAGACATAACTGGTGTCCTTATAAGAATAGCAAGTTTGGACACAAACACATATGTGGGAAGAACATCACCTGGATATGAAGACAGATGACTCCACAAGCAAAGGAGAGAGGCCTCAGAAGAAATCAACCCTTGATCTTGTACTTCCAACCTCCAGAACTGTGAGGAAATAAATTTCTGTTGTTTAAGTCACCTACTCTGTGGTTCTGTGTTATGAAAGCCCTGGCAGGTTAATAAACTGCCTTACCACCTGTGTTAGAAATTTTCGAGAAAAATATACTTCAGTTTTCATCTCTGATCTTCAATATTTTTTAACTATGTTCTCTTGATATCTTATAAATATTTTATTTTCAGGCCTTAACAATATTGGTTTTATTTTGGTGATTTCTGTTAGGAGTTCAGGGATGCCAAGATGGCTGAGGCAGGGTACAAGAAAAATGCCACTGGAGGACAAGACAGGAGATGAGTCATCATATCTGTGTTTATGATATCCCATTACCATGACAACTCCCACCACTGAAGACTAATTGCCCATGATAACTCCTGCCACAAGTTTGGTGTTCTAAAATAACCAGTGGGAGCAAATGGGGTAAGGTCTTCCATCAGGTTCCTATAGGGAAGAGAACATCTCACACCTCAGCATATAAGTCACTAATTTCCAGATATCAGGGCTGTAAGCTCTTTCTTGCTCACCTACTTTGCTCTACCTTATGGAGTGCTACTCTCACCTTCACCTTCAATGAATCTGTACTTTTTCTGGTACTTCCGTGTGTCTTGCTCAACTCTTTGTTTTGGACCTAGACTCCAAGGGGACACCCCAAAGATAACATCTCCACTGTCACATTTTTTACTAGGATAGGTGAATTTTTGGTGTTTGCTGGTGTGATAGTTTGCAAAGCTATGGGAGAAATGGGGAATATCTCCTTTGAGTATAGATTTTGCTCAGCAATTTTTTTTGGAAAGGGTCAATTCACATGAAAACAAATACAAGTTTTTAAGATAATCTAGTATATTTCAAAGACATATACTGAATTCCTCTAAATGAATGTGTTTTCTCTACTTAAGGGTCTCATTCTTGCTACAGAATACCCAAAGCAGAATCAAGGTATGAAATCAGACAATCTATCTATAAAACTAAGGAATGTTCCTGAGGGGTTGGGGGAGGGGTTAATTTAATTTTGAGTTTTCCTGTTTTGGGGAATCCAGGTCTGCACCACATCCTGCATGTTATGTTAGGCACTGTCTCAGGAAATCAGTTTTTGATATAAAGCAATTATCTGAGGTTATTTGGGGGAGAAAAATATGTACAGATAAAAAGCAAAGTGGGGGAGGGAAGTTTGTCTCTTCCCTTCACACTTGCTATCCTCCCTTTGAGTCACACACACTCCTTGTCTTGCCCAATATGTATCTGCCAAATACAAGCTAAATCCCACAGACGCCAAGCTGGGACTCTGCCTTATGTCTGAATTGCTCTTCGACATTTACCACTTGCAGGTTTATTGACCCGTGCAGTCTTTTTGTCATTTGTCTTTATGCTGCACGTGGGTGGGGCCAGAGACTTTCTGGTCTTGTACAGCAAGTCCTGCAAACTTGAATACTGTACTTTTTTTTTTTTTAATGGAACCTTTATCTTTTGTTTCATTTTTGTTGTAGATGGACACAATATCCTTATTTATTTATTTTATGTGGTGTTGAGGATCAAACCCAGGGCCTCACATGTACAAGGCAAGCGCTCTACCACTGAGTTATAGCCCCAGCCCTAGAATACTGTACTTTTAAATGGAGCTACTTGGAACCTTGTACATACTTCCATGCCTCATAAAAGCCCAAAGTCAGAAAGCCAGGCTAGGGGTGAAGTTAGTCTTTCCCTATATCTGTGACCCCATTTAGGGCCCTCTAACGCTAGTGTCCTTCAAGTAAAAGAAAATCACAGACTAAAAAGGCCAATGCTACAGTTTTCCAGGAATAATTTACCAAAGTCGACAACCCCGAACCTGGGACGCCTGGATGTGGAATTGAGGGCTTTTTTCCTAACGGAAAGGTCAGCTCGTAGTTCCTCCCAGCATCCTCGGGTGACATCAGGATTCCTGGGAGATTCGGGAGGGGAAGAGAGCACGCATGGACAGAGCCCAGGCCGCCGGTGGCCAGCCCAGCCTCCCGCTGCCCCGCCGCTGGCTAGGCGGGCGCGACGACCCGCGGCCTTCCTCTTACCCTTAGAGGCGGCGACAGGCCCCGCCCCTCCCGCGCGGCCGCCGGCGAGAGGCGTGGCTTGCCGCGGGCGCCGCGGCAGCGTAGCGGGCTGACGCGGATGACGCGGCGCCCGCCAGGCCGCAGCCCCGCCGCCCGGCAGCGGGGCCCGCCTCGGCCCGCCCCTGTCCCTCCCCGCCCAGCCTCCCGCGCGCCCCTGTCAGACTGTGGCGGCCGGCAGCGCGGTGCGCTCTCCCTCTGCCTGCAGCCCGACGAGGCAGCTTGCGCACGGCACACCCCCGACATCCTTGCCGGTGCTGCCGCCCGAGCTCCGCTCTGCTCCGTCCTGCCCAGCCCTGGGCCGCACGCCCGCCTGTCTGCGGCGACATGGCACACGCGCCGGCACGATGTCCTAGCCCCCGGGGTTCCGGGGACGGCGAGATGGGCAAGTTCAGGAAGGTGGCGCTCATCACTGGCATCACCGGCCAGGTGAGTGCGGAGGCGGGGGCGAGCGGGCCTGCGGCTGCCAGGCACGTGTGCGTGCGCTCCCTCTGCTCGGGGCTGTCTGCGTCTCCAGGAACAGCCCTCTGGGCGTCCCGGAAGGTGTCTGCTGCCGGGAGGTGGGACAGCAATGCGCCGCGGGGAGTGTGTTGCATGTGGAGCGTACGAAAGGTCTCCTAGACTTCTGGTCTTCCTCTGGGGGTTATGAGCTTGTGTTCCTGGGCAGGATTACCTTCGCCCACCTGGTGACCGCAGCGCTTGTATCTCCAAGCCTGAGGGTGCAATTGGAATTTCGTTCTTGGCAGATCTTAGTGCCCAAGGAGGGGAAAGAACCGATCCTACTTAACTCTAATGCCTGGGAAGCAGAGAAGGGGGTGCCTTGCTTTCTTGGTACCCCCTGACCAGATTTCTAGATAGAAAAGAAAGTAGTGCTGTAGAGTCACATAACTAGGAAATATCTGGGTAAGGGGAGAACTCAAAAAACTTTTAAAAATCAATCGAACTTCTGAGATTCATGATCACATTTTGCAGGTTTCTCACAGACAAGTCCCAAAGTAATGCTAGTGTTTATTTCCAAAGAAATGAATTCCTTCAGTGGGGTAATCAGGTGGAGCTGTCCTGAATGTTGGGACCTTATGTTACAGTCTGAGAGTGCCTAGTTTGTGACAGTCATTTCCTAGAAGTATTACAACAGGTGGGGCAGACTACTGTGTCTTATCAAGCTTCAAGGGTGATGAAATAGTCATATCCATGTATTCCTATAGAAAAAATGGGATATTGTGGGTCCCTCGATAGCTTCCGGTAGGGGGGGTGACTAATATCATGCTTAAATAAGGAAGATGTAAAAGATGATAATAATAGCTTATACATATTGTGCTCTTTATATTCCAGTTACATGACTAATAATAACTCACTGGTTCTCACAATAAACTCCCTATTATTCCCACCTTGTAGATGTGGAAATTGGGGTTTAGGAGTTTGATTTGCCTGAGGTCAGCCAGTTGGAAAATGTCTATTTGGAGTGAAGCTACTTTTAAAGCTCCCTAGCATTAGAGAAGGAGAAATGGAAACTGGTCAGATACACAGCCTCAGAATATTGGACAATTTCAACTTCTGTATCCTGGTTAATTTCTAGTTATTTGTGCATCTTGTTTTGTGTAAAGTAATTAAAACAGGTGTTTCAGAACTGTTAAGAGGGGTGCTTAGGAGAAGGATCTGAAGTTGAGGAAGAAATCCCATAAAATCAGGCAGTAAGACAGGTCAGGGCCTACTTACTGTCTCATTCTCTATATTTTGGTTATGAAACCAAGGACTTTGTATGCACGTTCTACCCCTGATTTATCCCTGCAGCCCTGTCCTCTCTCTTGTAATACTGGAGACCTTTCTACAGATGATTCCTTTTTTCCAAAAACTCAGACTAGCTCCAAAGCTCAACTGTTAGCTAAATTTACATGATCTCTTGAAAGTAGCAATCTTTTTAGAATTGTTGAGAAATTGGTAAAGATATTAATGTGCTATGTGTATTGCTTATACCAATTTAAGTGACTAGTAGTCAACCAGTGCAGGTTAGAAATGGAACCTTGTTTAAACATTTGAGAGTGGTCACTTGACTGGTACTGAGTGGCTAGGAAGACTTGAAAGTGGCCCATCACTCTACTTTGTCCTGCAGGCTGCCACCAGAGGTATGTGTGTGTGGAGGAGTGTCTCCTGAAGCACCATGCTCAACATACCCTAACTAGAATTTTTTGACTCATTTCCAGCTTTAGACACTTGCCAGGCTCTGTGGCACATACCTGTAATCCCAGCCACTCAGGTGGTTGAGGCAGGAGGCTTATAAGTTTGAGGATAGCCTCAATAATTTAGAAAGACTTTAAGCAACTTACTGAGACACTGTCTGAAAATTAAAAAATAAGAAGCTGGGGATGTGACTTAGTGGTAAAGCTCTCCTGAGTTCAATCCCCAGTAACAAACAAAACAAAACAAAACAAGAAAAAACCCTGCTTCTCTGTCAGTCTCCTGTTCTCTGCCCCAGTGTCCTTTCCTCAGTTCCCTCCAATGTCTGCCCTCAGCATTGCCTTCTTGCTTGCTTAGTGTTACATTGACTTCCTGTTGTTGCACTTAGCGCAGTGCTGAGTCCTGGAGCTGCCACATAAATACTTGCTGATGGAATTTACTGCTCTTCTATGCTTTTTACTTATTTTCTAGGAAAATGACTTCCAACCTGAGCATCAAGTGTCGCTGGAGGACTGTGTCATGAATGCAAGGGGTTTATACCTTATTGAACATTTTCTTAATAGTATTGGCTGAGAACTTCTTGTGCTACTCACTCTGCTAGGCATTTTATATATCTCTAAGAGGCAGGTATAACTTGTCTCCCTGTTTTACACCTGGCTAAGTAAGATTGCTTGAGGTCACACACCTAATGAGTGTCAGAGCTGAGGTCTTAACCTAGGAGTCAGACTCCAGGGCAGTTTCTCCGAGACATTTTGTTATACTGTCTCAGACACATTAATAGAGAGAGAGAGAGAGTGGGTGTTGATTGATTGATTGAAAGATTTTCTGAAAAGGCTCAGATTTAAGTGCTTCTACTCTGACACTTGGTCACTGGAATGTACCACTGAGCTTAAATGGGTTGTCCCATTGTCTTATCTGCTATATACCTCTAGCATGTATGCTCAGGTTTTTTATTCTGGTTTTCCACTCTGATCTATTCTTGTCACAGTAGTGAATCCTTTTCCAAAAAGTGTACCTTATTAAATCATCTTTAAATAAATCCAGGCTCTAGTTTTCCATTGCTGCCTCCAGGCTCTCTGCCAGCCATCCCCAAAGCTCACCTTCATTGTCTAATGATGTTTGCTGTTCTTTACTTACTGTGCATAGAAATGTTCTTGCTGTTCTTTGAGTACTATTGCCTTGTACCTCTTTGGAGTCATTATTTGTGGCTGAATGGACAGATCTTATTCCTTTTAGCTTGACTAAAAGCCTCAGTGTTCTCAGACTAATCCTGCCAAATGCAGCCACTCCAGGAACTTTCTTTGTATTTACATATATGCAATCCCTATTGATTGTATAGGTAATTTACATATCTTCATTCTTTGAGTTTGTAAACTGTGTTAAAATAGAAATTTCACTTTCAGCCTGTTGCCTCCCACATGGCTTTACCTAGTGGATTTTTAAGAAAATTGACTTACTTTTTCCATAAATAGGATATATCTTTAATGCGCATCTGCAGTGTGAAAGGCTTGTTTTGATGCTGCTTAGAATAAAAAGATGTGTAAGATAAATTCTCTTCCCACCAGCATCTCATAGTCTTTGAAGAGCTTAAGACAACCTACACGAAAACAGTGAACACAAAAAAATTAATATTGCACAAAAATGTTAGGACCCAAATGAGTATTTCATCCAATGTTAGGACCCAAATGAATATTTCATCCAACTTTAGGAGTTTTTGAATACTAGAAACTAAAGAGACTGTTCTGGGTAAATTGCACATGCAGTGTATAGAGAAGAGAGTTTTGGAGACAGTTTTCCATTGCTGCTTCCATCCTTGTTAGTAATAACAAGAGGAACAGTAATATAGAAGAATTGTTTATATCACTTTCTGAAATATTTTTTCTTCTTTTTGGTGCTGGGGATCAAACCCATGACCTTGTACATAAGCACATGCTCTACCACTAAGCTACACCCCCAGCCTCCGCTTCCACAAAAGATTTTGAGGTGGTTTCAATAAAACACATATCATGGGACTCATCCTTAAAAATGAATTGAGGGGCTGGGGTTGAAGCTCAGTTGTAGAGCACATACTTAGTGTGCATGAGATTCTGGGTTCAATCCCAGCACCTCAAAGACAAAACCCTCCAAAATGAAAACTAGGAGCCTGTGATAAAGAAAATAGAAAGATGGAAGAAGTATTGTATCAAAATCGAGGGCCAAGGATAGCTGTAGACAGTTGAACATAAAATTCAGCTTTGAGCTTTCTGGTCATCCAGTCAAAGTGGATAGGTAACCTATTAGTACTATTAGTACATATCTCACAGGGATTTAACTTTTACTCAGAAGGCTCAGAACAACATGCCACATAAATTGGAATGAAAGACTGGATGCATTAGTAAAATAGATATTACAGTGTTCTGTAAAGTTTAATAACAAATGAACATCTGAATAAATATTTTAGAATCTATTTCAATATTCAAGGGAAAACTAACTTTATGTTAACTTTAACATTTAACATTTTATATTAACAAAATATAGTTTGAAAGGATTGAGGTACTTAATAGTATTTAATTATAAATCTTTAGTATTTAATCTACATAGGAAGATTAATAAAACTATTGGGACTAAAGAAAGAGGTTAACTATAGACAACCTTCTTTAGAACACTTAAGATTTACTCTTCACCACAGGGCTAGGCCCCAGATCCTGGGGAGACTGAGGGAGGATTGCCAAGTTCAAGGCCAGCTTCAGCAACTTAGTGAGACGGTGTCTCAAAATAAAAATATGGCCTGGGGATAGAGCTCAGTGGTGTAGTGTCTTTGGACTCAATCCTAGTATTTAGCCCCCCCCCCCCCACCGGAAAAAAAAAAAAAAAAAAAACTTTTTTTTTTTTTTTGCTGTATATTTAAGGTCATGTATAATTTTACCTGGTAGTTTGCCTCCATGCCTCAAAAATTATTTGAGTGCTAGCTTGTCAACTCATAACCTGGGAAGACCCAGTGCTATATATCTCCATGTTTGGCCTCAGGATTCTAAGGCTGAAATTGAGAGTGTGTTTTATTAGTTCCTAACATGATATTTTGATGGTCTAAAAAGACTCTTATTTGTCCTTGTGATGCTGAGGGGCTTTCTTTGAGTTAAAGAATCTTCAATTTGCCTGTCCTTTGCTTTTTATCATTTTTGGGGGGTTCTAGGATTGAACCTAGGGCCTTGTGTATGCTAGGCAAATGCTGTACCACTAAGCCATATCCCCAGCTCTTGCTTAATTTTTGAACA